ACCGCCACAAATTGATTGGAGTGTCTGTGGAGAAGTACTTCGAACTTTATTGGATATGGTTCGATCAATGTTGAGTCATACCAGATCCTCTCATTATCCTTTAGGGAGATATGCTCTTGAAAACGTCCGTGTCTACGCCTAAACAGATGTCCCATCAAAATCAGTAGCGAAGATCCATATGAGATATGGACTGGAAAGGTTCCTAATCTGTCTTTTCCGAAAATTAGGGGTTGTGAAGATTGTTCAAACGTTTGATCATCGATAAGCTTGGACCCAAATATGATTAAATGATACTTCGTTGGTTATCCCAAGGAAACCAAAGTTTCGAACACTTACAACCCTGTTGAAGAACAAAATGTTTGTTACTCGAAGATGTGTCTTTTTGGAGAGAAAATTTCTTTCTAAGAGAAATAGTGGGAGTAAAGTACAACCTGAAGAAGTTGGAGTTACACAGGTGGTTGATGCAAATTCTGAGGAAGAACATCAATTAGATTTGCGAAGAGTTGTAGAATCTACAACCGTGGAACCTGAGGTACGTAGGTCCTCGAGACTCTTCACGAACATTATAGATATGGGGTTCGGGAGACAAAACATCATTGTTTATGGCTGATAGAGGGTGATTATAATCTAGCTAATGGGGAAACACAGAAATAACAAGACCAACGATAATAAGTTCAATACACAGTGCCTTCCAATAGTTTAGGAACATAAAGAGAAGACAAAAACTGATCAACTACAAGTACTGGAGATTCAGGAAGATAAAAGCAACATAGTCCAAATACTAGTTATTCAGAGATTCAAGAAGAAACCACCACCAATCATTGGTATAGAGTTCGTATGCAGCTCCTCCTGGTGTAGACAACGTAGTGTAAACATAATTCCACATTTCTCGTAAGAGGTTTAGGCTTGTTGGCTTAATATATGTTAAGCCAAGAGTGATCGGAGACAATGCTGCTGTAGCTACAATTGTTGCAGCGTGATCGGGATTGGTAATTTCCTTGTAATCCCTAAAAGTTATGTAGCACATGCACCAATAGATGCTGTTAGCGAGCTTGAGAATTTTGGCTTCAAATTCGGCATTTCCATTACCTTTTTCCCGAATATACACTTTTGCTGCCCTTCCTGCAGCGTCAATTGATTCTCTAACGAATAAGCTTCCTTCCAGTTTGAGTACATTACTAGCATTAGCTATATGGTGACGGGTTTTGCCCTTGTTCATCTTTCGAATCATAATTTCTGCTTTTCTTAGCTTCGCTTCAATGTTGGTGTCGTCCTGAAGCATTTTTGTAGTTTGAAGCTCAGCCAATGCTTTACATCCATTTTCATACTTTTGCTGTTTATTTTCTATATCTACAATTTCATCTTTCAATAACTGTTCGAGAGCATTACACGTAAGATCGATTCTCATGGGCAGGGTCAGTGAGTCTGGCTGATGAAAAGTGTTCTCCATGTGATCTATGATCTCTTGAAGTGTGCTTGACTGGTATCTGCTCATGACTGGTATCTGCTCATGACAACCAGTACCTTACACCTCTCATTCCACCAGTCTTCAGACATATCAATGGACCCATTTGAATGGTATCCAAGCCCTGTTCTGTTGTGAGTCAGCTTCCTAAAGGATTCATACTGCTTCTTACAAGTAGTATACTTAATGCCGAATTTCCTCCATGGATGCCTTTCACCAAAAGTCTCAGCAAACTTGTCTATAATGGACTGTCTTGCAACATCATTCACTTTGTCTTTTCTTATATTTCCTTTTAAGTTTCTCATCAACTCTTAGTTGAAGATAGAAACGGGTTTGCTCATCACTCCAAGCAAGGTTCTTAGAACAACAAGAAACACACAACAGGGAACAAAACGATTCACCTTCAAGCAAGATTCTTAGAACAAAACAACACAGAACATGGAAGAACAAAACAACACAGAACATGGAAGAACAAAACAACACACAAACGATGAACATTTTCATTATAAACAAATGAGTTGAGAAGAAGATACTCACATCAGTACCAGCAATGGATGTCATTGTTTTTCTGATGAAGTGCCAGCCAACTGTGAAAAAATTAGGGCCGATTAAGCTGTGATATGATCAAAGTTCAGAAAACAGATATTTTGCCATCATCAATACAAGCATGAAAACGTGAAAAGCACAAAAAGAAAACATACATTAACGTTCAGACAATATCCATGTTGATAACAAGTACTAGAATTATGACTAATCAAGTTCATTGCATTTTTTATGGTGTTGTGTGATGTGCAGCTAATTACGACTGGAAAGCAAAAGAAAAGAGAGAAAACGAGAAACTAACTTCTCTAATAAAACTAGCAGCTGGAATTAGAAGTTTTGTGCTCTTCTGGAATTGGCGAATCTCTCTGAGAGCAACAGTTCTTGGCTTGTATCGGTAAGGCTTCTTTGTTGAACTTAGAAGTGAAAGGAAAACAGATAGTTACAGTGAGAACATATAACTTGTGAAAACATATAACTTGTAGAGGAACAGATTTATGAGCAAATGCAGCTTAAAATTTGCATCTTCAAAAGCTAGTGAGACTCGTGATATAACTCAAACAATAAAGGGAGAACCTTTTTTCAGATCTACAAACTTTAATTGATAATTCTTTACTCTAACGAAATCAACAATCGCTAATATAGAGAAGCATGATTCAATCAAATTCTAAATGAAAAAATCCTTGATTCTTGTTCACCAAATGAACAAGAAAAAGAAACAGAGTTGCAGGAAGAGGATATAGAGAAGCATGAATCAACAAGTGAAGAAGACATAAGTACCAAATCAACAAGTGATGAACAAACACCAAACAGGATCAGAAGATGAACAAACACAAACAAAATCTACACTAGACACGAGAAGCTACAGCAAAACCAAATGCATCTATATAACAAGTTGAAATCTAGTAAAAGCTAAGAGCTGTAAAAGACTAAAATCCAGAAGCCGTCGATACAACAAAACCCAGAAGACTAAAATCCAGAACACTAAAACCCAACTGCAACAAAACCCAGAAGAGTAAAATCTAGTAACAAGTCGAAATTCATCCTCAATCGATGTCTGTAATAACTAAGAGCTTAAAAAAAACTGAAGAAAATAGAGAGGAGAAGCTTGCCTGTTTAAGAAGCCGTCGGAGAAGAACCAGCTCGTCGGAGAGAAGAACAATCTCGTCGGAGAGAAGGACAAGCTCGCCGGAGAGAAGAACCAGCTCGCCAGAAAGAAGAACCAGCTCGCCGGAGAGAAGAACCAGCTCGCCGGAGAGAAGAATTGCCGGAGTGAAAACGAAAAGACGAGAGTCGTGAGAGGTGAGAGTCGGAGAATTCTCGATTTAGATCTAGTTTGCTGCAGGGGTATTTTGGTCTTTTTATTTTTAGCTGAGCCTAATTCATTCAAATGATCCAATTTAGAACAGTTGGATGAGTTTTAATTTTTATTCACAATTTTAAACACTCATTCAAATGATTAATCTGAATGAAGATGTTTTCAAGCACTAAAACAAACATCAGTTGTCATCTTCATTCAGATGATCCATCTGACTGGACAAACAAACAAGGCCAATCACATGATCAAAAAGAAGAAATGAGGAAACTCACTTGGGTTTTAGAGCAGAATTCATCAAAAGGAGTAATTTTTTCAATTTCATTGTGACAGATCTGGAATGAGTAAAACCGATCAGAGAAATGCAGAAGTTTATCACAACAAAAATAGGCGTTTTCAATTGCAAACAAGTTTCAAAGTCTCTGTTTTTAAATAAAGAGCCCACAAACGCAAATTGCTAGAGAAAACTTGAAACTCGACATTACAGAATCACAGGATCAAAAAGAAGAAATTAAAGAACTCACTTGGGTTTTAGAGCAGAATTCATCAAAAGGAGTGATTTTTTCGATTTCATAGTTACAAATCTGGAATGAGGAAAACCGATCAGAGAAATTCAGAAGCTTATCTCCCAAATACGGCGTTCTCAATTGCAAAAAAAGCTTCAAAGTCTTTGTCTTTAAACAAAGAACCCACAAAAGCAAACTGCTTGAGAAAACTTGAAAGTTGAAACTCGAGTCACTCGACACTACATAATCACAGATTCACAGGGTAAAAAGAAGAAATGAGGGAGCTCACATTGAGGTTTTAGAGCAGATTTCATGAAAAAGTACCAAAATGTTTGCGTATTTGGGACAACCAGATTCACAGTGGTTTTTTAGAGGAAATTAAGAGAAATTTTTTATAGAAAATTTCCATTTTTGATAAATTTTTATAGAAATTTTTTACAGCAGCATTCAATTTCCCAGAACTTCGGATTTTAAAATTTTTTAAAAGGGGGAAACACCCAAAGACGAAGAATTCCATGAAGATGAATCAGAAGCAGACTAAAGAAAAAAAAAAAACTAAATGAAGCGCAAGTTTTTTCTAACCTTGGAAGGACGAGAGAAATGACCGTTGGAGAATCTTTTGTTGTCTCAGACAATCATAGAAGATTAGTCAAAACTGAGAAACGAAGAAAAAACCAGGAGAAGTCGGAGGAGGAAGATCAAAAGCACAAAGCCTCTTTTTTTAGTTCCATGTTCTTTTTGTTTTTGCTTTTGTTTGTTTTTTGGTTTCTGAGACCTAAAATATATTTGGGCTTTTCACTTGTCTAAACCAAATTTAAACGACTGTTAAATATTTACCGTGGAAACTCTAGAGTTGACTAAAAACATTAATGCTTTTGTGTTTTTGTATCAGAAGTCGGTGTTCTATTTCCAGAAGATGGAATTTCTTAACAAAATATTTACCGCAAAATAATTAAAAAAAAAACCTAAATGCTGTTTAGCCCAAACCAGAGAAGGAAAGAAAATAGAAGAATATCTTATTTAATATCCCACTATTTGTTTTTACCATATTGCTCAACCTTTATCAAGTTTTGCTTGTTCATATTTTCCAAAAAATTGTTATATATTATATTTTTTTTGATAAATCCTATCAGCTGATCCGATCGGTCTTGGTAGGAATGCACCAAAGTATTATAATATAGATTGATTGTCCTGATTCATCGGTTCAACAGACACTATGAGTTTTGAGCAAGCTCGAGTCAACGGACCATAAGATTTATGAGATCCAATGGATTACTACACTGCCTGTCCCGAGTTTGAAATGTTTGCCGACTAATGATAGGGGTAATCGGATCGTCTGTTATCGAACTACAAGTAAACTATATGGACCTTTGGTCCATCCAAATAAGTGTGTTTTGGGATTGAAACCAGGTGAAATGGGATAACATTCTACACAACCCAACAACCACTCGACCACACCCACTTGAAATAAAATTATTATATTTGAACGTGCTAGAAATATAACAATTTGTAGTAAAACCAGTTTTCTAGCAGTTTTTGATTATTCTCCGATTCAACAAGTGTTTTGTTAGATAATTCATTTTATTATATTGTTATTTCACTATTTATTAGATATAGCAGTCAAGATATTGTTCAATCGTTGATTCACTTTTAAAGATCTTATGGTCTGTTTGGATTGTATGGCCATGAAAATAATGAGCACATATGATAGATTGATAGATATTAGCTCTCATTCGGCGAAAAGGCACGGGTACAGTACAACAATTCATTTGCCTCAAGATATATGGCAAAGCTCAAAAGGAAGTGTGGTTAGTATGAAAAATTGCAAAAAAATATATCACCTAAAAATCCAGAAAAAATAAGGTGTATCTAATAACTCAATATTTTATATATTTAAAATATTAACGTAAATCAAATCTCAGAGTGTAACAAGACTAACTTTCTGCCAGAGATCAAAACACACTCTGAACTATAGAGAATTTGATTTTTACACATAAATCTCGATGAAATTTTGAAAAAAAAATTAAAGGTTTGAGAATTTATCTTAAAAAAAACCAAGAAAAAATGAGGTGTATTAAAGAGCCCCAACTGGTTTTTTATATATTTTAAAACCCAACATTTTGTATCATGCAATTTAAACTCCAAACGCTAACAAGTTAACTCTATGATGGAGATCGAATCGCACCGTTTTACTATGAAGCACCAACTTTATGCGCCTAATTTTATATAACAATATTCAGTGGCGGAGCCAGAATTTTTTTTCATTAAGAGTATAAATAAATGATTAGGAGTGTATATGATTTTATGAGTGGGGACACTACTATTAGGATTTGATAAATTACACCAATTTTTAAAAGTTCATTATTCACCCCCGACTTAATTCAAGTGGCTCCGCCACTGACAATATTTGGGCATCATTAGTACAAATTTTTTGTTGTATTGTAGTGATAGTTTTATATTGGTTGGATTATATGTGAATGTTCAAATAATAAACAGTTGAGCTTGTAGGACGAGTTAACCTTGAAGAAGATAAATAACCTAAGGTAAACAAGCTTGAAATACATAAAGAGGCACTAAACCAACTAGGTGGAATGGTTGAGACCAGATTAAAACGAGAGGCTCAAACAGAGAAGAGTAAACAGGAGAGAGAAGCAACAGAAAAAAAAGAGGAAGTGCAACAGAAAAAGCAAGCAGAACAATAGACAGAAGAAAAGAGAGGATATATAAGAAAAAAGAGGACAACAAACAGAAGAAATCAGAACAATAGACAGAAGAAGAGAGAGGATAAGAAGAAATAGGATAACAGAAAGAAGAAGAAATGAGTTCGGTTATGTTTTCTATATGTGAGAATCGACTTTTCTCTTATCTCTTCTTTTACAGCTACACCAGCAGATTCGAGCCACGGTCTGAAGCAGTCTGTATAGAGTGTGTTACCATTATGCTAAAATATTCATTACAAAATAACAAAACATTACAACTATATAATGTGTTAACCAGCATTCATATAAAAAACGGGAAAAAGGCTGATAAGTACCTCAATATTGTGGACTAGTACTGTTTAGTATCCATACAATTTTGTTAGGTTAATCAGTACCCGAATTTCTTAAACTTGGTAAATCAATATTCCAACACTTTTTTTGTGGCCAATTCATACATTGACTTTCTCTCTGTTAGTCAATCATGTTAATTTACAAACATAGTCTGAGTCGGATGCAATGGTGGATGCTGTGTTGGAACGAAATCAAATAAGACGTCGTTTATATTATAATGTTTGAGAATTTTGTTTGACAAAACGATGTCTTTTGAATTTATTATACATATAAAAAAACCATACATATGTCTTCTTTCGGCTTCTTCGTCCCTTTTCTTTGTCAACTTGAAACACCAAATTGGGGAAGAACATCAAAGATTTCAAACGTTTTCAGAAAATCGAAGATTTCAATTTTTATTTCAAAATCTGCAGGTTTTACTGTCAATATGTGTCGAGGTGTGCCTGTAGGACAGAAAGGTATCCGGTGTAAAACTGAAACAATGACGCTGTCGTTTTGCTATAAATTTTTTCCCACAAATTATTACTTAAACGACATCGTATTTGATTTC